GTCCAATCAAAAAGTGCGCCATACATTTTTTGTTCAGGACCGGCTACATTACACTTTGACGGTATTGCCAAACTTTTTTATGTGAAATTGAAATAATCCAAAATTGACCTAAAAAAGCAAAAACGCGAAACTAAACTTTTGTCTACACCAATAACGCTGTGTCCAATCAAAAAGTGCGCCATACATTTTTTGTTTAGGACCGGCTACTTTACACTTTGACGGTATTGCCGAACTTTTTTATGTGAAATTGAAATAATCCAAAATTGACCTAAAAAAGCAAAAACGCGAAACTAAACTTTTGTCTACGCCAAAAACGCTGTGTCCAATCAAAAAGTGCGCCATACATTTTTTGTTCAGGACCGGCTACTTTACACTTTGACGGTATTGCCGAACTTTTTTATGTGAAATTGAAATAATCCAAAATTGACCTAAAAAAGCAAAATCGCGAAACTAAACTTTTGTCTACGCCAAAAACTCTGTGTCCAATCAAAAAGTGAGCCATACATTTTTTGTTCATGACCGGCTACTTTACACTTTGACGGTATTGCCGAACTTTTTTATGTTAAATTTGAAATAATCCAAAATTGACCTAAGAAAGCAAAAACGCGAAAATAAACTTTTGTTTACGGCAAAAACGCTGTGTCCAATCAAAAAGTGCGCCATACATTTTTTGTTCAGGACCGGCTACTTTACACTTTGACGGTATTGCCGAACTTTTTTATGTGAAATTGAAATAATCCAAAATTGACCTAAAAAAGCAAAAACGCGAAACTAAACTTTTGTCTACACCAATAACGCTGTGTCCAATCAAAAAGTGCGCCATACATTTTTTGTTCAGGACCGGCTACTTTACACTTTGACGGTATTGCCGAACTTTTTTATGTGAAATTTGAAATAATCCAAAATTGACCTAAAAAAGCAAAATCGCGAAACTAAACTTTTGTCTACACCAATAACGCTGTGTCCAATCAAAAAGTGCGCCATACATTTTTTGTTCAGGACCGGCTACTTTACACTTTGACGGTATTGCCGAACTTTTTTATGTGAAATTGAAATAATCCAAAATTGACCTAAAAAAGCAAAAACGCGAAACTAAACTTTTGTCTACGCCAAAAACGCTGTGTCCAATCAAAAAGTGTGCCATACATTTTTTGCTCAGGACCGGCTACTTTACACTTTGACGGTATTGCCGAACTTTTTTATGTCAAATTGAAAAAATCCAAAATTCATCCAGAAAACAAAAAAAGCGGAACTAAACTTTTGTCTACACCAATAACGCTGTGTCCAATCAAAAAGTGCGCCATACATTTTTTGTTCATGACCGGCTACTTTACACTTTGACGGTATTGCCGAACTTTTTTATGTCAAATTGAAAAAATCCAAAATTGACCTAAAAAAGCAAAAACGCGAAACTAAACTTTTGTCTACACCATTAACGCTGTGTCCAATCAAAAAGTGCGCCATACATTTTTTGTTCAGGACCGGCTACTTTACACTTTGACGGTATTGCCGAACTTTTTTAGGTGAAATTGCAATAATCCAAAATTGACCTAAAAAAGCAAAATCGCGAAACTAAACTTTTGTCTACGCCAAAAACTCTGTGTCCAATCAAAAAGTGAGCCATACATTTTTTGTTCATGACCGGCTACTTTACACTTTGACGGTATTGCCGAACTTTTTTATGTGAAATTGAAATAATCCAAAATTGACCTAAAAAAGCAAAATCGCGAAACTAAACTTTTGTCTACACCAATAACGCTGTGTCCAATCAAAAAGTGCGCCATACATTTTTTGTTCAGGACCGGCTACTTTACACTTTGACGGTATTGCCGAACTTTTTTATGTGAAATTTGAAATAATCCAAAATTGACCTAAAAAAGCAAAATCGCGAAACTAAACTTTTGTCTACACCAATAACGCTGTGTCCAATCAAAAAGTGCGCCATACATTTTTTGTTCAGGACCGGCTACTTTACACTTTGACGGTATTGCCGAACTTTTTTATGTGAAATTGAAATAATCCAAAATTGACCTAAAAAAGCAAAAACGCGAAACTAAACTTTTGTCTACACCAAAAACGCTGTGTCCAATCAAAAAGTGCGCTATACATTTTTTGTACATGATCGGCTACTTTACACTTTGACGGTATTGCCGAACTTTTTTATGTCAAATTGAAAAAATCCAAAATTCATCCAGAAAACAAAAAAAGCGAAACTAAACTTTTGTCTACACCAATAACGCTGTGTCCAATCAAAAAGTGCGCCATACATTTTTTGTTCAGGACCGGCTACTTTACACTTTGACGGTATTGCCGAACTTTTTTATGTGAAATTTGAAATAATCCAAAATTGACCTAAAAAAGCAAAATCGCGAAACTAAACTTTTGTCTACGCCAAAAACTCTGTGTCCAATCAAAAAGTGCGCCATACATTTTTTGTTCAGGACCGGCTACTTTACACTTTGACGGTATTGCCGAACTTTTTTATGTGAAATTGAAAAAATCCAAAATTCATCCAGAAAACAAAAAAAGCGAAACTAAACTTTTGTCTACACCAATAACGCTGTGTCCAATCAAAAAGTGCGCCATACATTTTTTGTTCAGGACCGGCTACTTTACACTTTGACGGTATTGCCGAACTTTTTTAGGTGAAATTGCAATAATCCAAAATTGACCTAAAAAAGCAAAATCGCGAAACTAAACTTTTGTCTACGCCAAAAACTCTGTGTCCAATCAAAACGTGAGCCATACATTTTTTGTTCATGACCGGCTACTTTACACTTTGACGGTATTGCCGAACTTTTTTATGTGAAATTGAAATAATCCAAAATTGACCTAAAAAAGCAAAATCGCGAAACTAAACTTTTGTCTACACCAATAACGCTGTGTCCAATCAAAAAGTGCGCTATACATTTTTTGTTCAGGACCGGCTACTTTACACTTTGACGGTATTGCCGAACTTTTTTATGTTAAATTTGAAATAATCCAAAATTGACCTAAGAAAGCAAAAACGCGAAAATAAACTTTTGTTTACGGCAAAAACGCTGTGTCCAATCAAAAAGTGCGCCATACATTTTTTGTTCAGGACCGGCTACTTTACACTTTGACGGTATTGCCGAACTTTTTTATGTCAAATTGAAAAAATCCAAAATTCATCCAGAAAACAAAAAAAGCGGAACTAAACTTTTGTCTACACCAATAACGCTGTGTCCAATCAAAAAGTGCGCCATACATTTTTTGTTCAGGACCGGCTACTTTACACTTTGACGGTATTGCCGAACTTTTTTATGTAAAATTTGAAATAATCCAAAATTGACCTAAAAAAGCAAAATCGCGAAACTAAACTTTTGTCTACGCCAAAAACGCTGTGTCCAATCAAAAAGTGCGCTATACATTTTTTGTTCATGACCGGCTACTTTACACTTTGACGGTATTGCCGAACTTTTTTATGTCAAAATAAAAAAATCCAAAATTCATCCAGAAAACAAAAAACGCGAAACTAAACTTTTGTCTACACCAATAACGCTGTGTCCAATCAAAAAGTGCGCCATACATTTTTTGTTCAGGACCGGCTACTTTACACTTTGACGGTATTGCCGAACTTTTTTATGTCAAATTGAAATAATCCAAAATTGACCTAAAAAAGCAAAAACGCGAAACTAAACTTTTTCTATGCCAAAAACGCTGTGTCCAATCAAAAAGTGCGCCATACATTTTTTGTTCAGGACCGACTTCTTAACACTTTAACGGTATTGCCGAATGCTTTTCTTTCAAATTGAAAATATCGAAAATTTATCACAAAAATCACAAAACTTTAAATTAAAGATTTCACTACGTCAAAAACGGTTTGTCACTAGCAGACTTTTCATAATTTTCTCAATGTTATTTTTAAAGTAATAGTTTTTTGAAATGAACTTTAAGCGGTCTTATTGTATTATAAATGAAAAATGAACTGCAAAATATTATGTTATAATTATTTGTATTTTCTTAGGGTCAGTTGGGGTAAATGGGTACAAAATCGCTATTTTTCACAAATTACGTAAGTTTCTTCCTTCAAAAGGTAATATTTGCGGGTTTATTATTTTTTAAGTTGTTATTTACATTCCCGGGATTAATTTTATGCAGCAGAAAAAATTTATATTAGCTTTAAACGCATGAAACTGACTGTCCCCATTTACACCAAAATTTAGAAAATTTCATAAAATTCGGGGTAAATGGGGACAGCAGAGGTTCTAAGAAAGTTTTAAGAAAAAAGTTTCCTTAAGTATATTACTGTATTAAGGGATGAAAAAACTTGAAAAAAATTTGTAGTAGATATATAATAATTGAACCAATTGAAATTTTTTTATTTTTTTTTTATTTCAGTATTTTGTCTCGCATTTGAAAAAAACAGACTTAAAAATCATAACAAAGTTTTTTCTTATTCCTTATAACTTCCATAACAGAAATTCACTTGAATTTTTGATTTTTGTTATTTTGGTTGATAATGACAAGCTGTCCCCATTTACCCCAAAAATTTGAAAACTCCGGGTAAATGGGGACAGCTTGTTATTATTAACCAAATTGACAAAAATAAAAAATTCAAGTGAATTTCTGTTATGGGAATCATAAGGAATAAAAAAAAATTGGTATGATTTTTAAAATCTGTTTTCTTTGAAATGCTCGACAAAATATTGAAACAGTTTGACTTTGATTTTCAAGTTTTTCTGCATTGAGCGATAACTTTTTTTATCTTGCTGCCAATTGTCAAGATAAAAGCTTGGCAATACTTAAAACCTCTTGCAGGTGATCTGAGGTTAAAATATTGACGTTGAACTTAATTTTAAATCTGTAAATTAAGCTCCAAAACCTCTTGTCCCCATTTACCCCAACTGACCCTATATGAATTTATTTTGTACATTATTATATTTTATAATTTTTTGTATACTAATAGAATTGTATTTTCAAATATAAAAATACATATTTATGGTAGTTATACTAAAATCAACTTTTAATTCAATATATTCAGTCAGTCTTTTTATTATCAAAATGAGGCATTTCCAAAATGGAAATACAAAAATTATTTTAGAAATAATATAATAAAGTATAATTTAAACAGCTATTTGTTTCCTCACGCTTCGTATCAATGCAGGTGCTACTTTCATTGCTAGGCTGTAAATAAAATATAATTTATGATTATTTTTATTATTATTATATATTTCGTATTTTTTTTTTATTTTTTAATATTTCAATTATTTGAAATAGTATTAGTTATAGTTTGTCTGAATTAATCAATCCCTATTAGTGAAATTTTACATTGCGAGTTTGAAAAAATAATTTTTTTTTTCAAATAAAACTATGTATTTTAATTTCACTTTTATAGCAAGGAAATGAAAAATTACAGATTTGGAGTGTAGGACTCTTTTTTTTTCTTACTTGTAAGGTAAAGATGATATTCTTCTTCTGAAACAACGACCTGTTTTATCTAATCCTTTACATCTTTTTGCAGGTCTTTTAATTCCTACCGTGCTTTCAAGTGGTCCTTCAGATGTGATTGTAATTTTATCAGGAAGATTATCGAGCTCATCCTTTACTGCAGGAATAGAAGTATTTTCTAAAGAAGTATATTATTATTATTATTATTGTTATTATTGATATTATCATTTTTTTTATTACAAATAAATATATATAAATTTTTAATTTAGATAAATTATATTTAGTTCAAATAATACACACGTGTATTATTCTGTAAAATTCGTAAAAACCATATTGAATATTATTGCTTATTAAGTTTTGTCGTGTTATTCTTTAAATTTTTATAGGTTTTTGATTACTGCTCCTATTATCATAATAAAAAAATTATCACGTTGGCATCCAATTTAATAAAAACACGCGTAGTGTTTGAAAACAAAAAGTACACTCTTTATAGATTTTTAATAACAGTTTTATCTGATGCCATGACCAGCAAGTATCCGATTATTTGAATAAAATAATTAATAATAATTTGTTAAAAATTGTTCAAAAAATAATGATAAAGGGTACAGCGGCATAAGCATGCAAAATCGGTCTTTGCCTCAAAAAAGTCGAAACTTATACCAAATATTGGTACCAATGAGACAAGACACTTCACCAAATTTTAATAAAAAATATTCATTTTTATGGGAGTTATGGAGGGGGAAAGCAAAATCAAAAAAAGCGTTTTTCTCAAAAACGTCTTAACACTTAGAAAAATTTTTTGTAAAACTTTCAAAGTAGTACCTTTAAAATAACGCCCCCAAAATTTTTTTAAAAATTCAAAAAAAATTTCCGGGTTTTTACGGGCAAAAATTTTTGAAATCTTTTTTTTCTCTGTTTAAAAATTGAACGAAGTGATACGAAGCAGAAAATGCCTCCTTTTCATAAGCGGCACTGCTATTAAGCTCGAAAAACACGAATGCCCGCGATTTTTATTTTTTTTCAACATGTTCCCCAGAATTAAAAAATCTACAAAAAATATATGTTAAGGTAGACACTATGAAGTAATTTTGGTAAAAATTTCAAAGTGGTACCTCTAAAATAACATCCCTAAAAAAAATTTTCAAAAATTCAAAAATTTTTTTTCCGGATTTTTTCCGGGCAAAAATTTTTGAAATTTTTTTTTTTTAATTTCTCTCACAAGTCTACATAACTCATAAATTTTTTTATTGAAATCGGTTAAGATGTTTTTGAGAAAAACGCATTTTTTGATTTTGCTTTCCCCCTCCATAACTCCCATTAAAATGAATATTTTTTATTAAAATTTGGTGAAGTGTCTTGTCTCATTGGTACCAACATTTGGTATAAGTTTCGACTTTTTTGAGGCAAAGGCCGATTTTGCATGCTTATGCCGCTATACCCATTAATTCTTATATAATTCTGTTAATATAATTTTAATATTATTACCTGCAATATTGCTGCTTAGTTTCGTTGATGTTTCTAAAATGGTGACGTCATCAGTAGTTAAAATTGCACTTGTGGTAATTTTTTCTTCAGCAATTGAAGAAGACGATGTTGATGATTCTAATGAATTATTTAAATTTGATTGTGTTGATGATGATAAAACTGATGTTGTTGATGATTCTGACGAACTGTTTGTAATAATTGGCGGTGATTTGGTTGTAGGTTTTGTTATTGGTTTTAATGTAAAGTCAGCATAATCATAGACGTAATCGTAATTCTGCAAAAGAATAAAAATGCAATTTTATAACGAAAAACAAAATTAATTCAAAATAATATTAATAGATTTCTAATATTTGAATTAAGGGATATTTTTTTTTTCTAATTAATTAACAATAAAAAGATGCAAAAGAAATTTTAAAAAACAATGCAAATATTTAGAAAAATAATTTAAAAAGTGAAATAAAAGAAATTACCATGTAATCATCGAGTAAATCTGATTTGACCAATGCGATGACCTTGACATCTTTGAGGTCAATTTGTACATTGACATCACCTGTTTGTCGTTGATCATATTTTGCAGGACTGGACAGAGTCAATAATATTTGTGAAGAAACAATGAAGAATCCATAGATTAATGGAAACATGATGTCTGTAGCCTCGACAGTTTCAGAATGACTAGTTTCTTCTTGAGTCGATACAATTTTGACGTTGATGATGATCGTTCAGTTAGGAATATTTTTTTTTGAACTATCGGATTTCTTTAAACTTTCAACACTGATCAGCCATTCGTTTCAGTATAAACTCCAAAGGTGAATGAATATATATATATTTCTTTGAAAACCGGTATTTCATCCTGGGCATCAAGCCAAGAATCTTGAGAACAAACATAATGTTTCCGCGGTCAATGCTCCACGAGAATGGTTGTTCTTGGCATTGTAAGTATCTCAAGGTCAAAATAAAATTATGAGATATTATACAGAAATATATATTTATCTATATATATATATATATATATATACTCAGAACGAAAATTTGTTTGAAACAAACAAATTTAGATTTAATCAACCAAATACATATATTGCTGTATATACAGTTATCGTTAACCCTTTGCGGCACAGTGGTAACCCAGATTAAGGGCCGTCCATAAATTACGTTACCACTTCTTCATTCTTTTTAGACCCCCCTCCCCCCCCCTCGTTACTATTGCGTTAAATGCATTTTTTAGATTTTTTGACCCCCTCCCCCTCTAAAATAGGTAACGTAGTTTATGGACGGCCCCTCACCACCTATTTTATTTACAACTATTCTTACTGTATTTAAAGTTTTTTAAGCAATATTCATTAATTTTTTTAAAGTGACTGAGAACATATTATTCAATGAAACGAAAATAAAAGTAACAATATTTACGCAAAATTATAAACAATTATAAATAAATATAATTGTCAAAAAAACTCATTATTTTGGAAAAAAAATTCATTACCAAAAATTTAGGTAAAAAGAGAACCGATATTTTGTACTCGGAGGTTTTTGGGGTCGTTGATTACGAATCTGAAGTCAGTTTTTAATCATTCAAAATGGCGGATCCAATATAGCGGAGGACTTTTTGAAAACTTAATGCAATTCGTTTGAAACTTATTACTCGGGGGTTTTTGGGGTTGCTGATTACGAATCTGAAGTCAGTTTTTGAAAATTCAAAATGGCGGATCCAATATGGCGACCGAAAATTTTAAAAATCCACGAAATTTGCTTAAAACTTGTTACTCGGGGGTTTTCGGGTCGCTGATTACGAATCCAATGTTATTTTTTCAAAATTCAAAATGTGGATCCAATATGTGCTCATTGTAGTACAAAAGCTGACCAAAAGCGAACGTCCTGGATTTGTAAAACTTGCCATGTTCAAGTTTCAAGCTAATTGTATTAGATTTTCAAAAAGTCGTCCGCCATATTGGATCCGCCATTTTGAATTTTTAAAAACTGACTTCAGATTCGTAATTAACGACCCCAAAAACCCTTATAGATGTGATCATCTGTATTTTTGAATGGAATGAAAAATGTGTGCCGCAATGGGTTAACCGGGGTTATTCTGGTACAAGCTAGTTTTTGAGACGCATAAATAAGTTATAAAAATCAATTGTTAGAATTTTCATTTAATACAATATCATAAGATACAATTTTAATTCAGCAGAATTTTATTTTTTCGAATTATTATTTTCCAGAATTTTCATTACACCGATTTTTCTTATTATAGAATTTTTATATAATTGAAAATTCACTTCAATGAATTTTTATTTTTCAAATTTTTTATTTACTTAAATTTTCAGTTTTTAAAATTATTATTTGATAGAATTTTCATATATAATTGATTTTTCGTACTACAGAATTTGTACTTCACTGAAAAAAACATTTAAAAAAATTTTTAATTCATAAATTTTTCATTATTCCAAAATTTTAAACGGCCAAATTTCCGTGAAATCTTTCTGTCGATTGTTTGTTCGGACATAAATGAAAATTCGGCGTCTTAAAAATTCTATCAATTTAAAATTTGGTACATTAAAATTCGGTGAATTCGAATTTCTGTAATTTAAAAATTCAAATAATAAAAATTAAATAGCTAAAAATTTTCGTAATTTAAAATTCGTATTAAAAGAAATTCTGTTAAATGCTTATTATTCGAAAAATAAAAATTCGTCTAAAAATTAATTATTCATAATAAAATTCCTAATAAAAATCGGTTATATGGAAATTCTATCAAATATAATAATTCGAAAAAATGAATCTTTGAGAAAATAAAAATTCTTTGAAGTGAATTTTAAAATATCCTTCCTAACCTAAAAAAAATCAGTAATTGTAATGAAATTTCTATAATAATAATAATAATAATAATAATAATAATAATAATATTTTACCAACTTTTTAAAAATTATATACAGGAATATGTACTTAAAAGTTTCCATATAGTTTATAATTCGATGAAAAAAAATGTACTTTATTTTATGAACAAAACATAAATTTTATATACAAAAAAAAACTTTGAATTTACATTTATAAACCATATAATTTTTGCGAGATATATTAATTTTTTTTAAATATAACATTAATTTTAATAATGGCATTTATTTTCACAAATGTTAATTAATTATTATCAATGTTAACAATGTAATTTTACAAAAAACCATGCGAGGACAATTTTTTTCCTAATTTAAAAATTCAAAATTTCGAGTGTATATCGATTACAATCGATAACACGCCGTGAATATACACTCTGAAGTTGCATCCATCGTAATCCGTAAAAAAAATATGTATGTATGACAGTTCGGTGTGGCTTGATCGTAAAGTTTCTGTGCAAAAAAAAAAATATATTTTAATTTTAATTAATAATAAAATTATATTTTACAAATAATTTTCATTGTGCATATTGAGTGAAACAATTTTAATTAAATTGAAAATTTATTTTAATGAAGCAGCATTAACGAATCATTGAAAATTCAAGTTTGATTTTAACTTTTATGACATTCACAAGATTTATCATGATTCGTACTGTTGTACACAATGTTACAATTTTTTAAAAAACCTGGTAATTATTATTTTATACTGCATTGACATAATATTAATAGTTTTTTTGTAAAAAAAAACAATTGTTCCAATTTTCGAACATAACCTCTTTATAACGACGTCAACATTCTTTATTTCAAAACACAGGCGTTTTATATGTATGTATATTTGTATATGTATATATATGTTATGTTTGACATTTACATCATTTACTTTAACTATATATATATATATAAATAGTACTCTACCGACATTTACTCTTCCTTAAACATTTTAAATTGTTTAAAAGGGCACAACTTAAATTTACTGCATACTATTTATTTATGTTTTTTGATATTGTCGCGCATTGGATTTATTTTTTAAATATAATTTATTTTTCTTTATTTGCAATTAAATTGATGACATAAATAATTAAACATGATATATATATATAAATTTGAAATATAAACATAATTATGAAATATGATAAATATGACATAAATAATATTAGGTAACGAATCGTCGATATTCGCGAAACTTAAAAGATAAGAGGTTAAACTTTATCTACGTTTTTAGACACAGATTACAGGCCTCGGATTATACGACTTTTTCCGACTTTTTTCGACTTATTTTAATAAAATGCGACTTTTTCGATTTTTTTTTACATTTTTTTAAAAAAAAGTTTTAACGAAATACGTTTTTTTTAGTATACAATACAGATTTTCTTTATTTCAATTATTTAACAAATTTTTAACTAAAATTCCTCACTAAATTAATTATTTTTAATAATTTTAATGAAATTCTTCACAAATTCAATTATCTTAAACTATTTTTCAATTAAAATTGTTATTATTAAATTTAATAATTGTTTATAATTTTAAAAAAATTAGCAAAAGAAATTATTAAAAAATTTTAATTAAAAATCACTTGAAATTTAATTATTTGCAAAAATTTCAATTATTTTTAATAATTTTTATAATATTCTTCCAAAATTCGACTATCTGAAACCATTTTAAAAAAATTTTCAAATTATTGTATTTTTGTCTGCAATTTCTAATAAATTTTTTAGTGAAATCATTAACAATTTTTCAATTAAAAATCACTTGAAGTTCAATTAATTTAAAAAAATAATCAAAATTGTAAATCTTTGAAAATTTAATTACTTTTCAAAAATGTTATCTAAAATTTATTTGATAAATTATTTTTAGTTCTTTAAAATTTAATTATTGTCCGAAAATTAACAAAATCATTTGAAATTCAATTATTTCTAAAAAAATTCAATTTTAACTCTTCCAAAATTATTATTATTATTATTTTAAAAAAATTGATATTTAAAAATCTGTAAAACTTGATTAAGTATTGACTGAAATTTTTTCGACCATCAAAACTGAAAACTATGACAAAATTTTTAATTCGAATAAATTGTTTATAAATCAGACTTGAAAAAATTTTAAAAATGGAACTTTAAGAATTTTTTTTCAGAAATTTGTCCTACTTAAATAAAATTTTGAAAATTTGTCTTACAATTAGTTTGTTTGTGAAATATTCGAAATAAATTTTCTTGTTAATATTCATTATAGAATTATTCTCATTATAGAATTAATAAAATGAATTTAATATCTAATAACATTAGTTATTTAAAGTAAAATATTCATTAACGAATTAAATTTTGGTTAAAATAGAAAAAATCGACTTTTTCGACTTTTTTTTAAATATAAATCGACTAAAACGACTTTTTTGTGCCTTAAAGTCGATATATATTTATTTTTCAAAAGAAGATTAATTCCAAATTTGATTAATTTAAAAATATTAATAGTATTAAAAATATATTATAAATTTCAAATTTCCAATATTTTAGGACAAAAATACAGATCCAGATTGCTGCAGGAGACTCAATTGAAATCGAGAAATCTCGAAAATTGCAAAAATGATACACACAATTTGGACCAATCAATGTCGTTGGGTAGCCTTGAGGAGACAGAGGAAGACAATTATATATGTGATGAGGAATCAACAGAAATATGTTCCTTTCATTCTAGTCTTTCGAAATCTCTTCCAGAAATTCTCGCTGATAAAAGTGCATTAGGTTATTTTATTCAATACATGGACTCGAGAAATTGTGTGAATTTAATAAAATTTTGGCTCGAAATTGAATGTCTCTGTGGTGCATGTGAGGACAATGAATTTCTTAATAATCATCATAATGAACATTTACACAGTATTTCAAGTGAAATTAATAATAGTCTATCAAGTACCGCAGAAAGTAATGATAATAATTTTTATTGCAATACAACAACAACAACAACAAAAAGAATTGGCGGCGATGGCGATTCGTGTGAGAATTTAATTGTTGACACAAATATTTACAATAATACTGTGACAAAATTAAATGCAGAACTGCCAAAGAATAATCACAGGATAATTGATTCAAATGTTGAATTGAATTATAATTTTCAAAATAATTGTCGTTATACAGCGTCAACTGTACGGCAAGATGCAGAGAAAATATATAAAAAATATATTGATAAAAATTTATTGGACACAAATTTATTTCCCGATGATTTATTAATGGAAATGGAAGAAATGATTATATGCGAGAATGATGAACCATTATTAACATGTTTGTCATTGGCACAGAAAATTGTTTATAAAATTTTGGAAGACGAGTAAGATGATTTAGATTATGAGTAATTTGTGTGAAAAATATAATTTTATTTATTTTCTTAAAAATTATTTTCAGATATTTAAATGATTTTTTGAAAAGTGAATATCATTGTAAACATCAAATTGATGTTTTGACCAGTGGAAATGTACAATTAGAGGATATACTTTACAATGAAACTGCATTTTTTTATTTTATGGAGGTAAAGTAAAATATTTATTTCACAAAAATATTTTTTCTCTTTTTTTTAAAAAAGTGAGAAATTAATTAATTAAAACTATTTTAGTTTATGGAAGTTGAGAATAAACGAAATCTACTCGATTTCTGGATGTCGGTTGTGAATTATAAACAAAATTTAGTGGAAAAAGGAAGTTCCGCTGATCCTTGTGAAGCACAAACGGATGCTGTGATCATTTATGAAAAGTGAGTACATATTTGCAATAATCGATGTGCACAGGCCTCGGATTGTACAACTTTTTCGACTTTTTCTCACTTTTTTTTTTGGAAAATACAACTTTTTTCGACTTATTTAAATAAGATGCGACTTTTTCGATTTTTTTTTAAATTTTTAAATAAAATACGTTTTTTAGAATACAATGCAAATCTTCAGACTTTCTTTATTTCAAATATTTAACAAATTTTTAACTAAAATTCTTCACTTCATTAATTATTTTTAATAATTTTAATGAAATTCTTCACACATTCAATTATCTCAAAGCATTTTTCAATTAAAAAATTTTCAAGTTCAATTTTTGTCTTTAATTTTTAATAAATTCTTCAGCAACAGAAATCACCAAAAAATTTCTATTTAAAATCACTTAAATTCAATTATTTTCAAAAATTTCAATTTAAAATCTCCTAAAATTATTATAATTTCTAAAAGTGTCAATTGTAGAACTTTCAAAATTTAATGATTTTAAATGATTTTCATAATATTCTTCAAAAATTCAATTATTTCAAAGCATTTTTCAATTAAAAACTTTTGAAATTCAATTTTTGTCTGTAATTATTTTCAATTCTCTAAAATTCAATTATGGTCTGAAATTTAACAAAATCTTTTGAAATTTAATTATTTCTAAAAATTTCAACTATAACTCTTTCAAAGTACAATTATTTTTAATAATTTTAATATTTCTTTAAATATTCTATTATTTTAAAAAATTTCAAATAAAAACTCTAAAATTGAATTGTTATTTTTGTCAGAATTAAAAAAAAAAAATTTGTCCTACTTAATCAAAATTTTTTAAATTTACGTCATCGTTTCTGAAATATTCGAAATAAATTTTTTTGATAATATTTCTATTGAATTATTCTTATTGAGAAATTAATAAACTGGATTTAATATCTAATAACATTAATATTATTTAAAGTAAAGTACTTATTAACTAAATAAAAATAAAAAAAATCTACTTTTTCGACTTATTTTGGATTGTAAGTTGACTAAAACGACATTTTTTACTCCTTAAAGTCGATCCCAGGCCTGAGTTTGCAATATAAAAAAAATCGAGCAAATAATAATAATTCTCCCTAAGTTAGAGAAATATAGAGTTTGGAGTCAAAACTAAAAAATAGACATTAACCAAAAGTAATAAAAGTAAATGTAACGATAATAAAAAACATGAAATAAATATTGTAAAAATTGTTAATAAATATGTTAATGTTAATAAAAAAAATTAAATAAATTGTAAGGAATTTAAAAGAATATTGGTATAAAATAATAAATTTTGAAAATATGAAAATATAATAAAAATTGTAAAATAAAATAACTAAAATATTCTTATGTATCAACAAATTAAATAATTCACATTTTTAGGAATAAATATAAATAAATAAACATAACATACAAACAAATTAGATACATAAGAATAAAAATTGTTTAAAAATAATTAAAACACAATTAAAATACTCTTATAAGTATTAATCAAAGTTTTTGCAAAACCAAACTTAAAATTGGACTCCAAACACTAGATTCCTTACAATAATAAGTGAATAGAGAACAAAATAATGAATGAAGTGCAATGTTTTAGATACTTTAGTTTACAAGCAACAATGCCATTGGGATTCACTGACAAGGTACGATTTCAAGTCGAACAAAATATATGTCGTGAGGATGGAAAAGGACCACAACCTGATTGTTTTGATCTTCCTTGCAAACTTGTATACAACTTTTTAAAAAAGGTTTTGTATTGATGAATTTTATTTTATTTTTTTTTTTTAGTTATGTAATTTTAAATTAGTTAATTAAAATAATTATTACAATTTTCATATTATATTTCAGAATTATTTACCTGCTTTTTTATCGTCACAGCTATACTATAAGTACCTTTCCGAACTTATTAATAATCTTCAAAGCAGTTCATGTACAAATCAGCACAGGATTTTGAAAAGAGCAGGTATTAGAAAATTATTATTATTATCATTATCATTATTAAACACAATAATAAACTTATAACTGACTGGTATGAAAAAAAGTATACGAAACTAATATTATCATGGGTAGAGGAAATTGTTTTGTTTCGATGCGTTTGACCTCTTAAATCAAAAGAAACAAAACTTGGAAATTTCTCTTATTGTTAGTATTCATATAATATAATATTAATTAAAATTATTAATATTTATATAATTATATAATATATATTATCCTAAATTTTTATTTTCTATTGAATAAAACATTTATTTAATTGAATTTATATTCATCAGAATCTTTATAAAATTGGAGAATTTTATTTAACTCTATTTTCATTTAAAAGAATTATAAATTAATAAAAAAAAATATTAAATTCGAAAATTTTGTAAAAGGGTTAATCCATTATATTTCATTTAATGTCGTTGGGGACAATTTTTTTGAGAAAAATTTGATTAGTATTTGAGTATTTTATTATTAGTATTTTAGTATTTTTAATCTAATTTTATATAATATGCTGACCTTTTTAATTTATTGTAAAGAAATATTAAAATATTTTATCTTTTACGTTGATGTAATTATCAAATTTTTTCAAAAATAGATCGCAACGACTTTAGGTGAAATATAATGATTCAAAATGAAATTTTGTGTTAATTAATTTTTGGGTTTATTAGAAGGAATGTATTGGCTCTAATTATTCATTGAATGAAATTAAATTATGTTCCTTAAAATTAAAAGAATATTTTTGAAATTTTTTTTTTTGTGTTTAAGAATCTGATTGTGGAAGTGAAGCAAGTAGTTTAAGTTTTCAAGTCCAAACTTCAAGCCAAAGAACGGCAGAAGAACAAAAACGATTAAAAAACACAAAATCAATGAATGGAAGTATGAGTATTGACACAAAACAGCTCTATGATCCAGATTCACTTTGGAAACGAAAAAAAAGAAGGTGAGCATTCTTAGTAAAAAAAAAAAAAAAAAAAAAAAACTGAAAAGTTTGAAAACAAATTTTATTTCTTAAAAACAAAAACAAAAATTACTTTTTTTCAGTTTGAGTGTCGGATATGTAGATAGTATGGGACGATTTATTACCGAAATAGAATCTCATCGAAAAAATGAAAGAGAATCTCGTTTATCGCGTGCTGTGAAAAGATTAGTAAACATGGAACAAGATAAGGTAAGAAGTTGCAATTTTTTTAAATACTACGGTTTTTTTCTTTTTTATTGCCAAATGGGGTATTCGTTTATTATTTCAAAACTATTGATTGGAACTATTTTTTTTAATTCTATAAGAAAATTTATTAATTTTATTTAAAATTTACGTATTTTTTATTTTGCTATTTTTATAATAATTATGAAAGTTGTAATTTAAAAAAAAATTAATTAACGTCTTCAGAAAGGAAATAAATTTCAACAATCAATGATTTCAGTTTTTGAGAAAAGTCGCTTTTTAAAATTAATTTCAATTTACATTTTTTATTTTCCCCAATAAAAAAGAAAAAAAAATTTAATGAAAATAGTGAAAAATATAAATTATTTTTTTTTATTTTCACTAATAGGCTAAAGAAGAATTAGCATGGAAAATTGCTGAAATGATTATTCGAGAGATCACAACATTAACTTTAGGGGCATCTGATCTTCCATCTTGATAAAAATCTATTCTCGTCAAATTTTTATAGGATGTTGCTTCTGTTATTTTTTTCTTTAAGTCTTCTGAAAATGATCAAATAAGAAAAATTCTATTTTACGAATAAAAAAAAAGAAGAAAAAAAACGTAAACTGAATAGAAAGTGCCAAAAACTTTGGAAGCAGGCAAATCAAATGTGAATTATCCGTTATATAATTTTTTTTTTATATTCGTATTTTATTGTTTTTTTAAAAAAATTTAAGTGTTCGTTTTTCTTTTATTTAGAAAAAGTATTTATTAAGATATAAATATATATATATTAATTTAAGAAATATGATTTTTCTCAGTAAAAATAATTATTTTACTGACAAACGAAAGCATAAAAGAGGTAAAGTGGCCTTTTAATTTACTTCTTTTTTTTTTTTGATATTCAACTTTATTTTAACGCACAAGCGTACTTTGCAAGTTCCTCCAAATGAGATTGTTTTGTATTTCAAGAAAAAAAAAATGTCACTTTTTTTTCTTGATAACGAAAAAAAAATTCTAGTTCAATAAGAATTTTCTGAGACGTTTAAAAACGTTTTTATTTTATTAATCTCTCAAATGAATCTCGAATATATTTTTATGATATTAGAAAGACTTTTTGAATATTTTAGAAATTATTAAAGAGCTTAGCACATGACAGGAAAATTCTTTCAATTCTGTATAAGATTAAAAAAAATAATTTTACTCGTATATTTTTTTAAATTAAAAGTATAATTTATATATATTTTTTTTTTTCAATTAATATAGTTGATTTTAGAAAAAATTTGAGATATTTTTTCTCAAAATTAGAATATTCGAAGAAGCGGGAATTTAAAATATTTGATTATTAAAGAAAGTGAAAAAAGAATTGAGATTTGAAAAAAAAAAAATGTGGCCTATAATATAAACGTAACATAATCGTATTCAACAATACTGTAAATTGTGATTTCATTAAGAAAAAAAAAAAAGAAAACGACGATCAAAATATAAATCTTAATCTATCGATTTTAGAATTCATCATATATTATAATAAGAGAAATTAGTTTGTACAAGAGTATTAATAAATATCTTTTGTAGCACCTCTAGTTTAAGGGCAAGGTCTCTTAAAAAAAATAAATTATTATTCGAGATCAAGTGTTTAAAAAAGAAAATATTTTTTTAAAAATTTTTCGAACGGTGCTATAATTTAAGGTAGATTATAATAAATAAAATATTGCAAAAAAAATGGTATTGACTTCTAGACGAAAGTTTTGTTAATAAAAAAAAAAAAAATAAAATGAATTTCAGTACCATAGTTTATCACATATTCTCTGATAATCGTATATACATTATATAGATAGTTATTAGAAATATATTACAATAATTTATTAATTCGAGGAACAACAGTCATTTCATAAGCGTTTCTTAGATGTACAAAATAATAATAATTTACGATATTAATTTTGTATATATATATATTTGTGTATATTTCGTTCTTTATTAACAAATAAAGTATAATCATATGAGAATTTTAATAATTATACTTAATATTTTATAATTTACTTTTTTTAAACGTTTCAATGACTCATCGTATTATTTTAAAAAAATATTAAGAAGTATTTTTATATACGAATTTTATAATTTTTTGGGAAAAATATATTTTAAGTATATTTTTTAATATCATTTATACGATTAACTGAAAAAAAAATGATCTGAATTCAAGGGAATTTCTTGTAAAAATTCCCAGTTTACAAGAACGGAAATTTTGTTATTTTAATAGATTAAATAAATTTTCAACTTATTTATCTTATCATTTGCAGGTCCTGACAAATAAGTTAATTTATAATTTCCCATTTACTTTTTTTTATTATTATTTATTTATATTTTATTAAATTATTTTTTATTAGGTATATATTATTGCGGTAATTTGATAAAAAAAAAGAGAATTTTCCCTTAATTAAATTAATTTATTTTAAATAGGAAAATTGACTTTTATTTTTTGTTGATATGTTAATCTGCAATTAAGAAGATTATTTAATTGTAAATTTACGTTTATCAATAATGAGTAAGAGCAAAAAAGAGTGATTGAAGACTGCATCTATTTAAATAAAGTTCTATACGTATGAATTTATTCATTAGTCAATTACTAGAGTCTGTGAATTAATCGTTAACAATAAGAAAAATTTTAAGTGTCAAAAAGTGTTTTTTTTTTTTTTTTTTTTTTTTTTTTTTTTGTTTGTTATTATTATTATATTAGCAAATAATTTATCATGAAAAATTTGGGATTACTTTTATTTTCTGCCTTCTTCTTTGTCAGCTTAAAATCAGGTATGAAACTATACATGGGGCATTACACGGGAAATTTTCATTCAAAATTTTTTTTTTGTCCAAAACATTTTTTTTTCGATATCTATAAGATGAAAAATAAGAAAATACGTATTTTTTTATTTAATAAAAATTAAGGAAGTTTTTTGAAATTTAACGTCATCAAAAAAAATAAAAATTAAAAATCGAAAGTGTCTCTTTGAAATTTTAAAAAATCATAACTTCCTTTATTTTTATCAAATAAAGAAATAAAAAATATGTATTTTCTTATTTTTCTTATAGATTTCGAAAAAAAATGTTTCGGGCAAAAAAAAAATTTTCATTCAAAATTTTTTTTTTATTATTCAAAATATGTTTAAATTAAAAAAAAAAAATTATAACTTCTTTACATGTTTTATAGGCAATAGTTTTGGCTTTATTCATGATTTGATATCAAAAACCAATAAAGATGTACAAGGTATTACAAAAAAAGCTTATAAATTAGCTGAAGATATAGAAAAAAATGAAACCTTAAATGGACCTCAAAGTAAGATGAAATTTAAAAATATATTAAACTAAACATTATTTTTCTATGTATAATACAAAATTTGTGTGACATAATTTGTTATTTTTTTTTTACCAATTGATGAAACAAAAAAAGTCAGCCAAGATTTTATGAACAATTAGTTATTTATTAAGTAATTCAAATTTAGAGAATATTAAAAAAAAAAAGTCTAATTAACAGGCAAGCAACAGGAAATTTTAAGAATAGCCGAATTAATAGAGAATGGAGATGCTCCAGACGATGTAAAATCAAATTCAAAAACATTTTCTCACTCCATGGTAATTTTAATTCAAACTTATGTTGTGTCTATTTATTGTTATTTTCTTTAATATTGAGAATTACATTTTTTTTTTATTTAAATTGTTAAACAAATGTCAATTTAAATTGCTTTGTATTTATTTTTATCTTTTAATTTATTTTTTTGAAAATTTTTTTCGAAATTCCCGTTTCAATTATATTTTTTATCACAAAATTGTTGTAGAAAATCCGTGGTAAGCAAGTAACAGTAAAATGTACAGTGTACTCAACTGGAAATGATATAGAAGGTGCTATGCATATTATTAAAACTACTTATGTTAATTCGAAAAAGTCAGAGTACACAATAAACACAACTTTATGGAATCCAAGGGTAAAGAAAAATTATTATATTGAAAAACAAATCCCTTCCAATAATAAACGATAGGAATCGATTGAATATACAATAATAAATTAAAATATTTTTACATCTAATAAAACTGATACAATAAAAAAAAACAAACAAATGAGTTTTATTAATCATTGAATTAAAATTTTCAAATTTACCTCCACAATATCGAACTTTCACGAGCGAGAATCGGTTCATATCGTGACTCGTTTACTTCCTATGTGAACGAAAAGAGGGAGCTACAATTTTTGTGATATTTCTCACTTTCGGCGCACGTGGATTATGTTTTTTTCTCAAAATAAGAGAAATTACACTAGAAAATCTTATAATACAGTGATAAAGTAACTTGTTTAATATTAAAACAAATTTTGTATAAAATATAAATTATTTATTTATTACTTTAACTAATAATTTTAAGGTAAGTTAAACAAAAGTTTCATTTTCTAACCTAACTTTTCAAAACATCCAGATGTTCCTTATTTTTTCTTTTAAAATAAACATTAATTTATTAATGTCATTTTAAAATACCTAAAATATTAATAAATTTAATTGTACAACATTTTTCTTTGTTTTTTTTTAAATTAAATACAACAATAAAATATAAAAAGATCATTTTTTTATTGAAAAAAAAAAATTGATTGTTATTCATTTATTTCGTTTGGTGTTGGAAATTACAAAGAAAATTAAAAAATGTCAGTGTTAATTGTTTAAATAGAGTTTTTTTTTCTATTTTTGTGAAGATGTCTATCGTTTCGTCGCGAATCAGTAGTGTGGCTTCTATTTTGAAGACACCTGGCTCGAGATCATCACTTCTCGATCAACCAAAACGTATTCGTTTCAAGCTCCCTGATGATCTTAGAAATGTTCTTCTAAATTATGAAAATGGAACCGATTGTCAAATGTACAAAGATTTAGTGTGTATATTACGGGATTCAAATTTAAACGTAAGTATTTTTATTTTACAAATAAAAATTTCTTTGTTTGAAAGTTTTTTTTTTTATGTATTAATTTTGTTTAATTATTCAAGTATTATGATTATTGTAATATTTGGCAAAAAAAATTAATTTTAATTGCAGTTTTAATGATAATTTAATTTCTTTTAACATTTATTTAAAAGCGTATTGATTAGTTAAAATCTATTACAATATTGTGCAATGTCTTGTAATTTATTGAACATTCATTTTTTTTTTGTCTTGTCATCAATAATTAATAAATAAGTTTTTCTTTCTTAATTAGAAATTTAGATAATTTTCTCATAATATAATTGGAATTTTTTTATAATTTTGATTAGCCACAATTTGGGGAAAATTTTTTTTTCTCAGAGAAATTTGGACAAATTTACAAGAAAAAGTCAATTATAATTATACTTACTGTTGGAAATTTTTTTTTTTTTTTTTAAATAGGATAAATTTGTTGTTCCCCATTTAGTTTAAAATTTGATTTTTTTGTATTTTACGAAAATGATATTCTTTCTTTTAGAATAATGAACTACTTTCATTGTTATCTGATGTTCAACAATGTATAACTTTGCTTAATGAAAGGCATAGGATATTAATTGAAGCACTACTTAACATTTCTTGGACGGATCGTTCATTAGAAGTAACTACAGCTTACAAAAGATTTGTAGAAGAACTTTTGGTGGCACACGTATATCATTCAAAATTGGTCATGGAAAAATTGATTCAAAAATTTAAACCAGGTACAATGATAGAATAAAGTAATATATTTATGCATTGAAAAAATAATATAAACAGGGTGTCTACTAGTTCTGGAAGTCCTGGAAATATCCTGGAATGTCCTGGAATTTTAATTCTTGTCCTTATTGAATTTTTTATATTTTGCTTTTAAATTTTTAAAAATTTATAATTTTCTTCAAATAGCGCGACGACTTTTACTAACTGCCAAAGAAGAAGTAGAACTTCTTGATAATGAAGTCATCAAGTTAAACAAATTAATTAAATAAGTAAAATGAAAATTTACTTAAATTACGTAATGTAATGTTTTTCTAATGTATCTGCAATATTTATTAAAATTGTTTTTTTAATTAAATTTTTGACAACAATAGTTAAAATAAAAATTATTTTATTCGTTAAGGTCATCCAATTTAATGTCCTGGAAAAATAAGAAATTTGTCCTGGAAAGTCCTGGAATTTTAATTCAGATTTTTATTAGACACCCTGATAAATTACAATAATTATATTTTTGGATTTTTTTTTTTTTTATAGTGAATTCTTCGGATCCTGAATGGGAAAATGGAAAACCAAGGTCAGAAGATTTACAGAGATTAAATCATGTTCATGATATTCTTCAACGATGTCTACATGTTATTCCCATGTAAGTCTCATTTTTCTTTATTTTTTTAAATAATAATTTTATAAATAATTTTAATTATTTTAATTGTAAAATTTATTTATTTTTTGTTCATTTTTCGTTTGTTTGTTTGTGTTTTTAAGGTGCCACGATGTTTTAATGCAGTCATTAATGTCAACGTATCCTCACATGTCCCTTGGAACACATTCACACGAATTATATGTTTACGCTTTACTTCAAATTACTGAATATGCACCACAAATGAGACGAGCAATAATGCATTTGATAGTAAACAGGTATGTGTTTTAAATTAATTAGCAATTAATTGAAATTGCAGGCCTCGGATTATACGACTTTTTCGTATGATTTTTATAATATTCTTCAAAAATTCAATTATTTGAAAGCATTTTTCAATTAAAAAAAAATTTTTGAAATTCAATTTTTGTCTGTAATTTCTAATAAATTCTTCATCAACGAAAAATACCGTAAACATTTTAATTCAAAGCCACTTGATGTTCTATTAATTTCAAAAATCTAATTATTGTAAATCTTTGAAAATTCAATTGCTTTTAAAAAATGTTATCTAAAATTATTTTCAATTCCCTAAAATTTTAATAATTGACACAAAATCTTGTGAAATTTAATTATTTCTAAAAATTTCAACTATAACTCTTCCAAAGTTCGATTTTATTATTTTAAATAATTTTAATATTTCTTTAAAAATTCAATTATTTAAAAAAGTTTTAAATAAAAACTCTAAAATTGAATTATTATTGTTGTCAAAATTTTTTTTTTAAACAAATTTGTTCTACTTAATTAAAATTTTAAAAATTTACGTCTTCGATTTTGAAATATTCGAAATAAATTTTCTTGATAATATTCCTATTTAATTGAATTGAATTTCTAAAAATGTCAACTGTAACTCTTCCAAAAATTTAATGATTTCAAAATGATTTTTATAATATTCTTCAAAAATTCAATTATTTGAAAGCATTTTTCAATTAAAAAAACTTTTGAAATTCAATTATTTTTGTCTGTAATTTCTAATAAATTCTTCATCAACAGAAATCATCAAAAATTTCAATTAAAAATCACTTGAAGTTCAATTAATTTAAAAAATATGAATTGTAAATCTTTAAAAATTCAATTACTTTTAAAACATGTTATCTAAAATTATTTGATAATATTCTTATCAAGGAATTAATAAAATTGATTTAATATCTAATAACATTAATTATTTAAAGTAAAATACTTATTAACTATTTAAATTCAATTAAAATAAAAAAATCGACTTTTTTGCGCTTTAAAGTCGATCCTAGGCCTGTAACAGTATCCATTTTATAAGCAATATTATATCAAACAAAAATTATTTAGATTTTTATTTAGATACTACTATCAAACTAAAATTCATACAAATAAAAATTCGAGAAAACTAATATTCGATTAATTGAAAATTTTGGCATTTAAAAAATTCGAATCACATTAAATTCAATTAAATGAGAATTTCGATAAATTTAAAATTTGCTTAAAATAAAATGCTGTCAAATAAAAATTTGTGTAAAGAGGAATTTTGTAAAATAAAAATATTTCTAAATAAAAATACTTTACATAAAAAATTCTGTAAAGTAAAAATTCGTTTAAAAAAATAAGGTGAAATGCTAATTTAAAAATTATTATGAGATAATAATGCGCCTCACGATAGCTCGCATTAAAAATTAATATCTCCAACAAAAATCAATTAAAAATTTATTATACATAATTAACAAAATATTTAGAGGAACATAAAAATTACAAAGTTTCAGATATATAATATAGAAATAAAATTTTTAAAAACGAAAAACAATTTTTGATTTCATGATTATTGTTTCAGATTAGTAGAATTGGACGCAAATGCTTCGCCCTCAGATATTCACTCATACGAGGATGATGATGATGATGATGACGAGGAGGATGACGAGAAAATGGAAGAGGATATTGATGGTGCAATATTTAATTTAGAAGTTAATCAAGATGAGAAATTGTCAGTTGAAAAGACAAAAAAAGAAACAAAACATCCAATTGCACGAACTCTTGACGTTTGTATGGAACAAATGTTTGCCTTTATACATGATTCATGTTATGTGGATGGAAAATTAGACATTGAACTCATGAAAACAATGTACAATGATCTATTGAATATTTTTGAGGAATTAATTTTGCCCTTTAGTGGACATCATGTTCAATATCTTCTCTTTTATTTGTGTAGCTTCAAATCGGCGGTTGTCGAAGCTTTTGTTAAATTTCTTTGGCAAAAAATCTCTAATCCAAATGTGCCACATTTTTTACGACAACAATCTGTTGCCTATGTTGTTGGTTTACTCGCACGAGCCACATTTATTCCATTGAATTTACTTCAAGGTATGGTGAAATTTTCCATGTTTTAAATTTTGATTTGCATTATTTTTCTTTTCTGTCTAATTTACTTTTAATTACATAATATGCATACGTTTATCTTTTTTTTATAGAAATAAAGTTTTTTAATTATATTCAAAATTATTATTTTTGGCTATTTTAATTTCAAATTAATTTAATTAATTTATTTATTTTTATTTTGCAAGGTATCTTGGCTGATATGGCGAATTGGATCCACAGTTACATTTATTCGCAAGACAGTTTTGAATGCGTTAATAATGATATTCGTGTTCACATTGTTTTTTACTCCATTTGCCAAGGATTATTTTATTTACTCGCTTTCCGTCACAAGGAAATTATGAACGGCAAAAAAAGTAAGCAAATAATTTTCACTATTTTTTTGAATTTAATTTATTATTATTAATTTGCTCTAAATTGTATTGTCAGTAATTTTTTTTTTTATTTAAAAAAATCTCTTACCTTAACTTGTAATTTTATTTTGTATTTTACATACAGGCCTCGGATTATACGACTTTTTTCGACTTATTTTAATAATAATCTTCTTTATTTCAATTATTCAACAAAATTTTTTCTCTAAATTAATTATTTCTAAATCTAAAATTTTCAGAAATTTAAAAATTTCTCTTCCGAAATATAATTATTTTAAATGATTTTTATAATATTCTTCGAAAATTCAATTGTGTGAAAGCATTTTTAATTAAAAAATTTTTAAATTCAATTTTTGTCTGCAATTTATAATACATTTTTCAGCAACAAAAATCACAAAAAAATTCCAATTTAAAATTACTTAATGTTCAATTATTTTCAATTCTGTAAAATTTAATTATTATCTGAAATTTAACAAAATCTTTCGAAAAATTAAATTATTTCTAAAATTTTTAACTATCTTTCAAAGTTCAATTATTTTTAATAATTTTAATATTTCTTTAAAAATTCAATTATTTAAAAAATTTTCAAATGAAAACTTTAAAATTGAATTGTTTTCAGAAATTTTTTTATAGAAATTTTTCCTACTTAAAATAAAAATTGAGGAATCAATAAAAAAAATCGACTTTTTTGGAATGGAAATCGACTAAACGAACTTTTTTTCCGCCTTAAAGTCAATCCGAGGCCTGTATATGTATTTATTTAAACATTACGAACAAAATCCAATCTTATTGACATACTTTAAAAAGAGTAAAATTTCTTGTTTTCATTTTATTTCTTATTAAAATGAGAAGTAAAATTTAATTTGGAATAATAATAAACTGTTTTTTTTTTACTTCAGATTTACTATTTTTACAAGGACTGAATTTAAATAAAATTGTCAGCTGTCGATTAAATCCATTGAAAGTGTGTCAATCGGCTGTTGTTCAAAATTTTGCAGCTGTAACAAGAAAATATCAATTGGCCTATTGTTATACAGTTATTGAACATAATTCGAGAAGTAATCTTCCTGTTTATAATATGAAAGCTTTAACGACAATAACACTTGATCCATTTTTTCCATTTGATCCATATCTATTGCAAAGAAGTGAACAAAGAATATGTCATCTCTATTATAATAGTCAATGTATGACATTAAATGTTGAGAGTCCAAAAAATAATCAATACGAAGACGACGATGATTTTATTGACGAATCATTTTCACCTGATACAAATTCACATAGTTATTTGGAAAAATTTTCTTACGGTACATCACCAGGTTTTGTACATACGTAATATGTAGAACTGATTTTCAATTTTTCAGAATAAAAAAAAAAGAAAGAAAAAAATTATATATTATAGTTTCTTTTTTTGCGAAGAAAAAAGAAATTCAATTTTTTTTATATAAAGGGTTTTTTTTTATTAAAGCGAATGATTATTTATCATTGAATATTATATGATTTTAAATTAATTAAATTATAAATTTACTATGATTTTTCGAATATGATATATTTATTTATTATTATAAATGATAATTATTAATAGTAATGTAATTTAATATTTATTTAATGTTAATGAATTTAAAATTCATTATAATAAATAAATATTTGATGTAATTTTTGAGAAATAATCATTCGCCTCTTTTTTTTTTAATTCTATTTTAACAAAACTACTTTTTTATGTATCAAATTTTGTTTTAATATTCGTATTACAAACTAAATACTATTTATTTACATAAATTAATGTGTATAAAAATGAAGTGGAACAAGCCTCGCGATAATTCTTACATCAAAGCATAGTTTTCATTTATCAAAATATGGACTATTTTTTTTCTTTTTTTTTTTTTCATAAATCACTGCTCAAATAAAGAGCAACTGGAATTTTGCTTTGATAGAAAACAAAAATTTGTTTCATAATTATAATATTTAAGTCTCTTTTTTGTTGTGTAGGCAACAAAATTTTCTTATTGAAATATAAAAAAAAATTAGTTGAAGGATCAAAAAAATTTGAAAAAATCAAATTTATTCGTGAAAACAAAATATCAATAAAAAAGTTTTGTTGCACGAATGTTTTTTTTTCAATACCGTAATTTTTTTTTCTGATTGTAATATAATTACTTGAAATTTTGATGACTTGGAGTAAGGATTTAATTTTTTTTAAATGAAATATGATACGTTTCTCCTTCGGCTATAATGAATCGAGATACACTGGCGTTTCATCTTGTTGTTTAATTAAAGTTGCCAAAGCTAGTTCCAAATTTTCTGGCAAATGATCGAGAAGCATTCGTGGCATTACTGACATTTCCATAAAATCTTCGGCTTGTGCCCAGCGCATTTCGTATTTTCGATCTTTATTATTTTTCTTTCTGGAAAATCGAAATTTAAAAAAAAAATATTTCATTATTTATAAACACTTGTTAGTTAAAATTTGTTATTAGTATAATTATTATTGTAGACATTTTTAAGTACCTACTGATTTAAAAGTGACAAAACTTATTTTTTTGTAATACATATTCAATTCTTTAATATTAAAGGAAAATAAATATTCTTTCAATATTAAAGAAGTTAAAAATTTAAAACAGGAATTCAGTGTATTTAAAAATTAATTTTTGATAAATAGTCATATTTATGATAAATGACCATTAAATAAAATTTATTCATTACTGTTATTCTATTTTTTTTACTCATTTTTATGACATTATATTTCTTTAAAATTATAAATAATTCGATAATTTTCGTTCAATCTGATAAATTAATATTACTAGCTATTCAGTGAACTTAATTATTATTTGTAAATTAATTGTAATTAAATTTAAATTGATTTAATAACAATTAACCTTTTTTATTCTAATTAATACTTTAAATAATATATTTACTTTTTTTTATCTGTAGAGGGATTTTTACATCTTACAATATGTAGAATTCGTCCTGCAGTGAATAGTCGAACTTTTGAAAATCTTCTCCTCGAAAGATCTCGTTCGAAAATTCTTGTTTCCTAAAAGACAAAGAAATTTTCAACTTTCGCAAAATAAATAATTTTAAATTAAGTTAATTACAGGGAAACTAAAGTATATCGTATTTCAAGGGACAAGAATGTAAAAATTTTTGAAAACTGAAAATATTAAAAATACCGACACAAAAATCTATCTTACCGACTGATGGTAAAACAGTTATTTGATAAATGAAAATATAAAATTACCAACATAGAAATCAACCTTGTCGACTGATGGTAAAACAGGTTTTTTTTAAAAAATGAACAATTGAAAAAATTACCAACATAGACATTTATCTTACCGACTGATGGTAAAGAAATTTTTGAAAAATGAAAATATAAAAATTACCGACGTAGAAATCTACATTACCGACTGATGGTAAACAATTTTTTAATTTACCAACTTTTTCAAAGCTGTTTTACCATCAGTCGGCAAGGTAGATATTTATGTCGATAATTTTTATATTAACATTTTCCAAAAAATATTTCTTTACTATCAGTCGGTAAGGTAAATTTCTAGATCGGTAATTTTTTATATTTTTTTTGCAAAATTTTTAACCATCTTGTTAATTTTTTAACCATCTATGTAATTTTTATTTTTGGAAAATTAGTAATTTATTTAAAAATAAAATGGTATTTTTTTAAAATGGTATTAAAAATATTTTTTTACATTAATTCTTTGTTTTTGTTTGTTTTTCCTATTGAAAGAAAACAATTTTTAATAAAAAAAGATAGGAAGAAGTGGTTTGTAACTTTTGAAATTTCTCTTAACAAAATTAATTTTTAAGGGCAACTATTGGCAATGTAGAAATCTACGTTACCGACTGAGGGTAGAGAAGAAAATTAAACAGACAAAAATATATCTAATGATTGTAAATAAGAAAACGGAAAAAATATAGGAATCTATGTTACCGACTGAAAGTAAAACAAGAAAATAAAAAAATTACCGACCAACAGGAATCTATATTGTCGACGGATGGTAAAATGAAAAATATCACTTGCAGAAATCGACATTGTTGACTGATGGTAAAAAAGGAAAAAGAAAAATGTAAAAAATTACTCACTTACAGAATTTTATATTGCCGACTGATAGTGAAAATAGAAAAACAAAAATATATAAAAAGAAATTACTCACTTGCCGAATTCTACGTTACCCACTGATGGTAAAGTACATATATAAAAAATTACGGACTTACAAAAATTTATATTGTAGACTGATGATAAAAGGAAACAATAAAAATTATTTAGTAAAGTTCTATTTTCTCTTACTCTTTGCCTTGCTGAATCAGCTTCAACTAATAAGGGTAATTGTCCTGGAATAGAATTAATTGTATTGCCATTCCTCCATGTCCTGTTGAGATCACGATCAGGAACCCCAAACAACATGTATCCAAATCCATTCAGTACAACTCGATACTAAAATAAAATATTAAAAATTTGATGAAACAAAAATTCTGACATTAAAAATTTGACTAAATAAAAATTTCATAAATAAAAAGGCAATAATAATGTCGGTTAATTTATTAAATTTTTGGAAATTTCTAGTCAATTAACTACGTTTTCTCTTTTTTGATTCGAACGCACAATTGTTTTTTTGTAAATACTTAAGTACAATTTAATTATTTTCACAAAGATGCTAACATAGGACAAAATTCTCGTTTTTTAATTCTTTACCTTATCGACTGATGGTAATTTTCTTAGGAAAATGAAAATATAAAAATTTACCGACACAGAAATCTAACTTACCGACTGATGGTAAACTTTAAAAAATGAAAAATTACAAATTCAGAAACCTACCTTACCGACTGATGGTAGTTTTTTTTAGGAAAATGAAAATATAAAATTTTACCGACACAGAAATCTAACTTACCGACTGATAGTAAATTATTTTAAAAAGGAAAAATTACAAATACAGAAATCTACCTTACCGACTGATGGTAAAGAAATTTTTTGAAAAATGAAAATGTAAAAAATAATAATGCGGTTCCGATATAGGTGGGTTTCACTGTATTTATAAATTCGACTAAATGAAAATTCTGTTTGATATACAAATTCTATGTTACACGAGGTTTCTCAGAAATTTTAGTGGGAATAAAAAATCCTCTTTATAAAGTAAAAGAATTTTAAATTAAGAAAAATATAATTACCTTAGGTAGTTGACAAGCTTGTAGTGTAATAAGTAAAGAAGTTCTGAAATTTTCAGTACTGTCGACACTCAATCTCATGATGAAATCGTCACCGACGCCTATTGTCAATACAAACTCTTCAGTTACTTTTGCAGCTTCCCTACTTAATAATCCAGCTAAAAAATAATTATTGTCAATTGAAAAACAAAGAAAAGAAAATTCCCCTTTCAATTAAATATTGATGAAAAAATTCTAATAATATTGTTTATAATTATTATTAAGCATTTCATACTTTTAAGAATTATTCTATGTTTTTTATAATATTTTCTAATTGACAAAAAATTTACAGTTTTCTCCACCTACTCCATTTGAAATTCATATTTAAAGAGAAATACTAAAAATTTTAACATACATATATTTTTTTTTCTTTCCCTATAGATATAAATTTTTTACCTGGAGTTGCAAATGCGTAAACTTTTAACTCTGGATATTTTGGACGGATGAGTAAACCTAATAAAACAGCTAAACCAGCTCCTAAACTATGACCTAAAATGGAAAATTGTTTCTTTAAAATTTGTTTTATAATTTTTCTTTAAAATTTAAATGAAAATAAATCATTGTGATGAAAATATTCTAAAATTTAAAAAATTGAAAAATATTATCTCAAGTCATAATTTTTTTTATTTTGTTACCTATTTATTTTATCAAAAATAATAATACAAGAAAAAAAATGTCTAAATTCTCACCTGTTAATGTTAAATTATAATGAGGATATTTTTCAAAAGCACTTTCTAAAATTTTGTATTGATTAAGTTGTTTCAAAAGAACTTTTGCACCAACTATCATACCCTTGTGTGCCTGAATTGAAAAATATTAATTAATTTAACATTTATGCGTGTTATATTATTTATCATCAAAATCAATCAAAATTAATATTCTTATTAACAGATTTTATTTTCAGTGAAAGATTAATAAAAATTGATTGAAAATTTAAAAAAAAAATTAAATTTCATTAAAATTTAAAAATGGTATATGTAAAATATTTTTTTGCTATTGAACTCACCATGCTACCAGGAGGAAGACCTTCAATTTCAAATGTATCAGAAGCTGCATTAATATCGGTAATTACATCCCTTAATGATAATGATCCTCGAATAACAATTACAATACTTGATGTTTTATGATCAGCAATTACACAAAATGGTATCTAATAAAATTATAATTATACATATTTTTTCTTTAAATAATAATTCTATTTTATCGCCCTGATTATAATTTTGTTTTGTTTTTTTAAATTCTATTCTAATTGAATTAAATATTTTTATATACATAAAATTATTTAAAATAATAAATTGTAAATATTGTGATTTTTTATTTTAAAAAAATATATTATTTTATTTTTATCAGATTTCACTTGCTATGGAGAAGGAGAGAGAAATTTCTTATTCTTACCTCACACAGATGATTTCTGAAGGATGCGAATAGGATATCATCTTCAGACAATTTCGAAAGATATTTAATGCCAGAAAGATTGCATAAGCAACAATTGTCTTCTACAATAATGTTACGTTTTCTCCTATAAAAGGTAAGACTTGAAATTTACTGACATATGATTATAACAACATTAACGACTAATGTTAAGATTCTAAATAAGAAAAAAAAAACATTTAGATTTTGCGACTATTCAGTTATATAAATATAAATATTTATTAAATTGTCGCATAAAATTATAGTACAAATGAAAAAAAAAAAAATTTCTGTAACATTTTTGTTTGTATTTTAATTTAGTTAAAAAAATAATAATAGTTAATTATAATAAATAAATAATTAACTATTTTGTTGACTTCAATTTTGCAAATTCTTTTCTTTAGATAATTGTTTAAAAAAATATATAAATATAAAAACAAATGTACAATCTTTGTAGTTTTTTAAAAAAAGATATAAACATTAAAAAAAATACACCGGAAAGTAGGAGATTTTTTTTTTACCTGAAACATGCACAACATGTCATGCCTTTAATTAAGCGAAAACATCCAGTGCAAGCGTGTTGATAGATAACAAAAAGCCATCCATAGGAGGCAATTGATAATTGCATATAATGTTGTGCCCATTCTAAGGACATCCAATTTGGTGCACCAGCAAAAATACTTTGAGAATCTGCGAAACGGTTTTATTGAAAAAAAAAAAAATTATAAACAAAAAAGAAACTAAAAATTAAACCATAAAAATATTTTTTAAAACCAAAAAAAAAAAAAAAATTGGATACACAAATAGAAAATAAAAAGATCTTTTGTAAGCCCGTTTATCACTGTAAATAAAACGAAATAAGCAACAACAATACTAAACTAAAAACAATAAAAAAGATCAAAAAAAATTCTAACATAAACAGCAAAAAATAAAAATTCGAAAGAAGCAGAAAACACAAAAAAAACAAAAAAAAACAAAAAGAATTCTAAAAAATTACAACACTAAAAAATTAAAAAGAAACAGAAAATACAAAAGGAAAACAAAAAGAACTAAAAAAAAATTATAACAAAAATACAACAACAAAAAAAATGACTAAGAAGAAATAGAAAAGATAAAAAAAAATAACAAACACAAAACTAATAAAAAAGGAAAAAAAAATTTTTTTTTCAAACAAGAAGAAAACAAAAGTAGAAAAAACTGACCTGATCTTTTAAATTATAATGCTTCATTTTCTCACTATATTTGCATATTTCGCATAAGAGTGTTAATCTCTTTAAGGAAACTGAAAGTGAAAATTTGCATACCCGAGGTATATTTCGGTCTCTCCAGAATGTTAAGTCTCCGTAATTCGAGGGTCTCGCGTTTCTGGCGAACTCTCAGAAGAACACATCCTGCCAACACGTCCGACGGGACCAAATCAGTACCACGAAAAAGTGAACTCATCAAACCTGTAAAAAAAATGCAATTTTTTTTCGATATCAACAAATTCATTTTTATTGTAGGAAGAAAATCGTATATTTTTAATTTCTTCCTTTTTTTTCCTTATATTATTATTAGCTTTATATAATAAAACATAGAAGAAAAAATGATACAATTTATAATTTTTATTATATTATAATTATCAAAAATTATAAAAATGTAAATTAAGAAAAAATATCTCCTCTATGGAGAAGAAATCAAATCTATATATATATATATATAAATTGAATGGATAAATTTTCTATATTTAAAAATTGCATATTGCGTCAAAATTTCACATAAAAGATGAGTCTTTAGACATTTGTATAAGTAGATATCTACTTTTATGAAATGAACAAATGAATATTTAATTAATCGCAATTGTTTTGTGTCAGTAGCAACTTATCACAATGTGTAAAGAAAAATTTCGCAATTATGTTAATACAGAATAAGTTCTTAAATGCGATTTTATTTAAATAATTTTTTTCTCAATGAGTCTAAGATTATTTTCAATATTTCAAATATTACATTTCTTTTCAAATAAATATTCTGTTGATTTGAAATGGTTTATTTCAAGCATTTCAAAAAAAAAAAAAATCTTAAATTTTTTTTATTTTGAAGAAGCAATATTTTTTGGAAAAATTATATATTATTTTAACATATTTAAAAATTAAATTATTTAACATTAAATAACAATTTTATTTTTAAAAAATATTTAAATTTAAGCCAAGTTTTTTTCAATCGAATTTTTATTTAGCCGAATTATCATTTAGTAAAATTTTCATATAACAAAATTGTTATTTAATCAAATTTTCTTTTAATTAAATTTTACTAGCCGAATTATTATGATAGTAAAAATTTTTCTTTAGTATAATTTTCATATAATAAAATTGCTATTTAATGGAATTTTCATTTAACAAAAATTTCCATTTAGCAAAATTTTTAATAAAGCAAAATTTTCTTTCAATAGAATTTTTATTTAGTCGAATTATCATTTAGTAAATTTTTATTAACTATAATTTTCATATAATAAAATTATTATTATTTAATCAAATTTTTTCTTTCAATGGAATTTTTATTTAGCCAAATTATTATTTTATAAAATTTTTATTGTGTGTAATAATTTTCATATAACAAAATTATTGTTATTTAATCAAATTTTCTTTTAATTCAATTTTTATTTAGCCGAATTATTATTCGTTGTAAAAATTTTCTTTTTGTAAAATTTTCATATAAGAGAATTTCTATTTAATATAATTTTTTATTCAACCAAATTTCCATTTAGAAAAATTTTCATTTTTTGCAAAAATTTTTATTTAGTAAAATTATCATTTCTAACAATTTTTAAATTTTTATTTAAACTAAATTTTCATTTAGAATAGAATTTGATGAATAAAAATTTGATTATATATAAATTCTGACACATTATTTTGCTAAATATAAAAATTCTGTAAAATGAAAATTAGGTAAAATGAAAATTATGTAAAATGAAAATTGTCTTAAAATAAATATTCAACTAAATAAAAATTGTGTTAAAAATAAAAATTTGATAAAATAAAATGTATATTTTTAAAAAAGAAATTTGTTAAAAAAAGAAATTTCGGTAAATATAAAAAAAAATTCTGAACTATTTGAATTCTGCATTTTTTTTAGTTTCACTTTTTTTTTTTTTTTGTAAAATTTGTCTGAAAAATTTACATAATACTGTAACAGTTGCTAATTTTGGTTGAGAGTTATTATTATTTTTGTTTTTTTTTTTTTTTTTTGTTTTTTGTCCTCTATATATACCTATGTCTCACCAGCAACATGTTGAAAGGTTTCGTTGGCACTTTCATCTCTTCGCATCCACCAGAAAAACTTGAATCGTCGAAGCCAGATCCTGGAAACTTTTTTATGTTCAATTGCATCTTCAAGAACCTTGTCCTCCATCCCGAATGTACCAAGTGGATCGAAGACCAGTGCCAAGCCAAGTATCGCCAAGCCAATTAGCACCCAGTCGAAAAATATCAGGACCTTCACGACAGTTATGGTGTAATGATCATTATTACATTGAATATTTTCACTCAGCACCCATAATGAACCAAGAATATTCCATACAATTTCAATGGGTATCAATAGAATTCTAAAAAAAAAATTAAAAATTAAAAATTAGCAAAAATTATTCATTTTTTTTAAAATCAAATTAAATATTTCATTTCTAATATCTAATTATTTTATTTTAATTTCAATAATAATTTCATTTAATTCGATATAATTTTTTAAAAATATTTTTATTTATTTTATAAATAATTTTTGTAACTCAAAAAAAAAAAAAAACAGTGAATTACTGAAAAAATAATTGTACATTCAAAAAAATGTTCTTTTTTTGCATGTAGTAACAATAACAATAATTAGTAGAACTATTTAATTAAAACTGAGTCAATAAAAAAAAAAAATTCATGAAATTATTATTCATCACAACTCATATAAAACAGTAAATTGCTTTTCAGTTGAATGTCACCCGTCACAGAAAAATTGAAAAAGAAAAATAAAATATTCCCGTACATGACTAATTAAAAATTTTTTTTCCAGAAATCCTGAGACATCAATAAATAATGAGACATGTTATAAAAATAGTGAATCATTTTTCCAAGGTATTATATATAGGAATTTAAATATATATATTTCTAACCTATATATTAGTAATCTTAAGATTAATTAATTAGGATTATTATAATTAACTATATACAAAAAGAACTTATATAAATTTAAAACAAACAACTTATATGAATATAATTATTTTTTTAAATAGTAATAATAATAATAATAATAATAATAATAATAATAATGATAATAATAATAATAATAATAATAATTGTTGTTAAGAAAAAATTATTATCTTACTTGACTGTTAGAAGAGGTGGAACAAAACGACGGGCAAAAGTATCAGTAATCGATCCTCTTGCACTGTGATTAACTATAAAACATACTAAAATAGTTACGATTCCTAACATGACTATTTCTCCAACTAAATAAACTCTGACTAAACCTCCTCCTGATTGACATTTCCATGTTTCACCATAATATTTTAAACATGCGATTCCAATTAACACAAGCCTGAAAACAAATTGAAAGAACAAAAATAATAATATATTTATTATAAGTGTAATAAAAAATAATTATTGCAAATTTTTTTTTCATTCTTAGGAAAAAATAAATTTACACTTTAAAATAAGAATAAAATGGAACACGGAGCATAAAATTACCCATAAAAATCATTAGTTAAAATTTTTTATTTCAAACCAATTTTATTATATAAAATTATTTTTTAAAAAAAATTTCATTTTTCGAAATAGCATTTGACAGAATATTCTATTTTAAACAAAATGTTTACTTAACAAAATTTTTAGGTATCGAATTTTCATTTGACAAAATTTTACTATTTTTTCTTCTCTTTACTCAACTTTTTATTTTAAAAAATTCTAATTTAATCGAATATTAATTTTATTTAGCAGAATTCCTATATTCAACAGAAATCAAATTTTTTAATGTTAGAATTTTCAATTTACGGAATTAAATTTTTATTTGCATAAATTTTTATTTGGTAGAATATACTTAAAATGACGATTTTTCATTTTGTTTGAAATTGCAAGTGACCAAATAAAAAATCGACAGAAATATTTTGGTGCTAATTTTAAAATGAATAAATTATATTTTTAAAAAATAATTTTTAAATGGTTAATTTTAAAATTAGCGCCGAAATCTTTCTGTTGATTATTTATTCGGTTATTTGTAATTTCGCTTTTTCGTTATAAGAATTCTATATCGACTAACAATTCGTGCGGAAAAAAATTCGAACAAATGAAGAATAGGTGAAATGGAAATTCTGGAATTTAAAAATTAGAATTATTAAAAATTCTATTTAATGATAATTCTGCTAAATAAATAAGTTTTTTCAAAATAAAATTGAAGGGAAATTTCGAAATTTTTTAACAAAATTTAATTGGTTAATGAATATTTTACATTAAATAACTAATGTTATTAGATATTAAATTCATTTTATTAATTCTGTAATGAGAATAATTCTATAAAAATATTATCAAAAAAATTTATTTCAAATATTTCACAATCGAACTAATTGTAAGACAAATTTTAAAAATTTTATTTAAGTAGGACAAATTTCTAAAAAAAAATTCTTAAAGTTCCATTTTTATAATTTATTCATTTTTTAAAAGTTATTGAATTTTCAAAGATTTACAATTTAGATTTTTAAAATTAACTAAACTTTAAGTGATTTTTAATTTAAAATTTTTGATGATTTCTGTTATTAAAAAATTTATTAGAAATTACAGACAAAAATACAATAATTTAAAAAACTTTTTAAGTGAAAAATGGTTTCAGATAGTTGAATTTTCGAAGAATATTATAAAAATCATTAAAAACAATTGAATTTTAGGAGAGTTATAATTGAAATTATTAAATTTCCAAAAATTTTAGATGGAAAATTTTAGAAATAATTAAATTTTAGAAACTTTTAAATTGAAATTTTTGAAAATAATTGAATTTCAAAAGATTGTGTTTTAAATTTAAGAAAATAATTATAACAAGAAAAATTTCTAGTGATTTCTGTTAATGAAGAATTTATTTAGAAATCACATAAAAAATGGAATTCCAAAAGTTTTTAATTAAAAAATGCTTTTAGATAATTGAAATTTTTGGAAAAATTCAATTTCAAATGATTTTAAATTAGAAATTTTTGGTAACTTTATTTGATAGTTTTTTTTTTAAATTATAAACAAATTATTAAATTTTATAAAAATTTTAATTTTGAAAAATAGTTTAAGAAAATTGAATTTGTAAAGAATTTCATTAAAATTATTAAAATTAATTAATTTAGTGAAGAATTTTAGTTAAAAATTTGTTAAATAATTGCAATAAAGAAGATCTGAAGAAGATCTGCATTGTATACTAAAAAAAAAACGTATTTTGTTTAAAAATTTTGTAAAAAAATGTAAAAAAAAAGTCGAAAAAGTTAAAGCGAAATTAAATTTCATTTTATTTACTTTAGTCAAATAAAATTTATCAACTTTATATTTAAAATTTTAAAAATGTTTAAACAAATATTTAAGAAATAAAAAAAATTGTTAAACAAAATTTAACTCGAAGAAAAAACTATAACTCAAGTAAAAATCCGGATTTTCAACTTCAAAATAATAATGAAAATCTATTTTAAAGACGTATTAAGAATAAAAAAAAAAAAAAAGAAAACAAAATACAAATTATTTTTATAGGCGCACCTACATACGTATATAAAAACAGTTTTTTTTCGCTATAAAATAAAAATATGCGTGCGTTTGATGAAATTTATATTCAATCATTCTTTTTATTTTTTCATTGTCTACAACTCACAGCTAATAAAAAATTCTTTTTTTTCAATTTTCTTCTATATACAATAATAATTGTCATATTCCTTATAATAAGAAAATATTTTCTGATATACATGAAAGGAAACTTGAATTTGAAAAATTTGTTATTTAAAAAAAAAAAAATGAAATATTTTTATAGTACATCAATTAAAAGAAAAAAAAAAGAAATGTTTTAATTTCGTAAAAGTTATGTCGATGATTTTGTTTATGGATATTGTTACAATAATAACACTATATAAGTAACGAAGGTTAATTATAAAAAAATGCCATTGTAATGAGAAACATTAATGACATACAAATGCAAATCAACATAGAAATTGAGTTTTATCTTTGCTCTTGGCCTTTTATCCCGCAGCAAAGAAACCGGTTTGAAGACACACTAACTCATAAAATTTATTTTGATGTTAACGTGCTCTTAATATCCTTGATATCATTTGATACCTTAAACCTTGAGAGATTTTTCTTTACTTTTTTTTTTTTTCAATTTTTTAATGGAAATTTATGACTGAGGAAAAAATATTCAATACTCACCAAACAATGCGAATGAAGATTTCGAATAATCCCGGATATACTAGATCATCAGTAGCAGCGAGCCACTTCCTTCCAAACAGCATTAACGCCGGCATCTTCCTTTAAAAAATAAGAAAAAAATTAATAATAATAATAACAATAATAATATATTTTTTAGTAAATATTTTTTTTTAAATTTTATTCCTGAAAATTTTGTGTATCTTTCTAAAAAATAAAAAAAAATATATTAATAGAAATAGAATTAATAAAAAAAATTATATATTTTTTAGTAAATAATTTTTTTTAAATTTTATTCCTGAAAATTTTGTGTATCTTTCTAAAAAATAAAAAAAAAATATATTAATAGAAATAGAATTAATAAAAAAAAAAATTATAAAAATGTTTGTAAACAGTTTAATTAGTTTTGTTTATTAAAAAACTAGTTCTTATTAATGATAAATATTGACAATAATCTTTATAATAAGATCAACGATTTTCTGTTACTGTAAAAATAAAGTTTCTCGTTATTTACATGCCCATAATTCTGTCTTAAAAATTCAAATAAAAAAAATTACTTCGTAATCAATTTAAAACATTATTAACCGGAAATGTAAGATTGATTCACATGCAATTTCGCACACACGTGAAGCTATTTCAGCAAATTATTTTTCATGCAAAAAATATGAATTTACAGTTACAGTTTTCTTAAAAGAAAAAAAAAAAAAGAAAAATGTTTCTTAATTATGCATTATTTGACAATAAATTACAAAATTTTATTTATTTTGTTTTTTTAAATCGTTCTACAAAATCATTTTAAAAAAAATACTTTTTACTCAATATATTTTTGTTAGACAATTTTAATTTATACGTTTTTCTATAATTTAAAAAATATAATTTTACGTTATTATATATTATACAATATATTAAAACAAACATTTTTTTAAAATCATCATTTTAGAAATTTTAACAGAATTTTAGTTGTTACATTTTGAGAGTGTGAATTTTAAAGTAAAAGTTATTGACTAATTTTATGAGTTAAAAGTAATTTTTACTCTTTTTTTCTCCTTGAAAAATGTGGACGTGTTCTACTTAATAAAAATTCATATAGAGAGAAATGTTCATACAGTAATTTACTTATACAAATAAAACTGGATCACTTTATTATTCCTGCACACATTATAATATACCTAGTTTGTTTTTACATTTATGGTAACTATATATATATGTACATATAATTAAAGAGATAATTAAAGTGATTATAAAATATTTATTTCAAGAACAATTTTTTAATTGTCTAAAAATATTTTCACACATTTCGTAAAAATGACTATGAAATATTTCAAAGAAAGGAATAATAAAAAAAATTAAAAATCATTTATAATATATAATAGAAAAAAAATGTCAATGCGAATATAATATATAATAATAATTATAATAAAAAAAAATAATAATAATAATAACAACAATAATAATAATATACCTATAAAATATTTAAAATAATAAAAATAGGATCAGAATTTCTCAAACGGATCACCTAAGATTTTCAAAAAATAATTAATAAATATAAAGTAATATTAATTATTAATAATAATAAAATAATAATTTTCTGAAAATATTAGACTAACAAAATTTTTTTTGTTAAAGTTATAAAAAATTGAAATTTTTCTAATATTTTTGATAACTTTAATAAACAATTTTTTTTGTTCTAGTATTTTCAGAAACTTATTTTAATCACAGTAGAAGTAAAAAACCATTTAACATTGAAAATTAAATTTATTAATTTTAAGTGAACCATTGGAAAAATTCTTATCCAATAATAATAATAATAATCATTTTATGTAGTTCCAACCATAATTTGAAACTTAGAAAACTAATGAATTTCAAAATTTTATATTTGTTTCCATAAAGGAGAAATTTTCAGGATTTATAAAATTTCTTAAAAGAGATAAATTGTATTAAATCCTTGTTTTGAAATTAAAACACTTTCATTTTTTATAAAAAAAAGACGTGACGAAAATGAAAATATGTTTTTCTTATATATATACCTTTTACTTTTTGTTCGCGATGTCAATCACTATAGCGCGGGAAAAAAAATATTCAATTGAATCAACAAGTTTTTTTTATTAGTTTAACTTGATAAAATTTTTATTTATATTTTTTTTTTTTTTTTTTTTTTTAAGTATATTTTCATAGAAATTTTAAAAAATTTAAACGAATAAGACAGAAAATAATACAAATTTTTTTTTATATTATTTTCTTTAATTATATGCCAAAAATTTATTAACCATATAAATATAAATGTTTTGATGATTTCATTGTTATAACCGCAAAAAAAAAGTGAAAAAAAATCTAAATTATAATGATGAATTTTTATAGTAAAATTTTTTTAATTTAATTAATAAATTTCCCATAATAAAAATGATCAAAAGTTAAAAATTTCTCTCCGAGTAAATATTTTTCTCGTATATATATATATATATATATATATTATATTGTTTGAAGAGTACCGTAAGCGTGTTTCGCTTTTGCTTTACTGCTGACACACACAAGTACTATTCAACTATGTTGCAAGAAACAACATTATATTTATGATACTCTAAAAGAGAATCAGAGAGTAACGTTAAAATTTTTTTAGTACAGATATCAAGTTTTCAGATATACAATTTTTTACGTATGAATATTTATTATTTTATATAAATCATTATATAAATATTAGGCATGGAAAACATCCTATTACTCAATCTATATTCAAAATTTATGACGAGATATAAAATTGGCCCGTCAATGTTTTATGTACTTTCCATCATAATTCGTTATTATGTACTTGTACCAATACTATTATTATTATTGCCATTATTGTTATTATTATTTCTAATATTAATCTTATTATTATATTATTATTATTTTTTTTGTTCTTCGAAGGATGTAAAAAAATCTGCTACACCAAGGAGGGAATTACAACAACAATTGATACAATTATTGTTATTATTACACTTAGAAAAAAGAATTCTTAATTTAAATATATTTTATTTAAACAATTTTGTTTAATTTAACACAGTTTGTAAGTTTTATTTTAATATATGAAAAATATCTATCACTTTTATTTAAAAATATTATTTGTTTGAATAAAAATTATAATAAATGTATGCAGGATTTAAACTTAAGGGTTAGTTCAGAATGGACGCATTTATTTTTGACACCTTCTTTACCCAGCTTTTCTCTATTCTAGTTCCCAGCCATGTTTCGAAAGAAAGCTACCATTCCCTGCAAAATTTCACAATTTAGATGTTCCACTGATTATTTTATATTTGTCAATTGACAACAAGATTTTGACATGATTCTTAACCTAAAAAATTATTTTTCGTTTATCGTTCGGAGATTATTTTAAGTTCAAGTTTATTCTGTGTGTATTAAATTTACTATATTTTTAACCGTGTATGCAAAATGCATGAATTATTTTTCATTTAAATTTAATATATTTAACTGCATATTAAGATAATATACTAACTTCGAATCAAACTAAATTTATATTTAAATGAAATACATTTTATCAACAAAAATGTACGTATTATTGAATTAAACTTAAATATGTTTGACTGTATAAAGATATATATGAGGCATTTCATATGAGAATACGGAGTCATGTCTCGGATTTTTCTCAAAATTCGGTAAATTGCGTAGTAGTGGTGCTAAATAAGTGTACAAATTTTGAATTTGAAATTTTTAATATTTTTCGAGATATTTACAATAACAAATTTGAGCAATATTTTTTCAATTTACTTATAACTTTTTTCCTACTAAAAATAGAGAAAAATGTTCTAAATGTTTTTTACGCGAAAGATCTTGAACTTTTAGAAAAAAATTATTTTTTTAAAAAAATATTAATTTTTAAACAATTTGTTTAAAAGATAAAATTTGTTTCTAACTTTTAAACATGTTCTCCCTCATTTAGAAGCGCGAAAAAAATCATGAATATTGTTTAAGTCATAATAAATCGATGGTTAAATTTTTGAGATGGCATTATTTTTTGTTTTCGAGATATTAATTAATTAACTAACAAAAGTTAATAAAAAATGAAATATTTTACAAACAAATAAAATTAGAGTAATTTCAAAAACGCACCATTAGAATGCTTATCAAAATCCGCATCCAACGAGCCCTATATGAACTATTTTGGATAAACGGGTGTTAAATTAATAATTAATAATAAAAATTATTTAAATAATTAATAAAATTTAAGGAAATGAAGATAAACCATCAATTCTTCTTTTATTTGGAAGATCATCTAATTCGGTATCAAAAAAAGATTATTAAGTATTACTAAGAATCAAAAATTAATTATGTATAAAATGTTATTTAGAAAAAGACTGAAAAATACCATGCCGAGTAGGTAGGCAGCCCCCTCTAACTTGTGTCGTAGGGTGCGGAAACCTCAATTTTCAATAATCATCTGTTAACAATTTAGATTTGTTAAAAATGTTATTTTTATTCGTTCGAATTTTTATTTGTCAGAATTTTTATTTTGTCGAATTTTCATTTAACATAATAGGTATTTTAAAGAATTTTTATTGCGTAGAGTTTCATTGCATAGAATTTCCCTTCAGATGAATTTTCATTTGTTCGAATTATTATTTAAAAGAACTTCCAGTGAGACATTTGTTTATTGGTATATAAGGAAGTTTTTTGTAAAATTGCAGAAAGATTCCTTGTTTAGTTTTTGAAATATATTAGTTTAAACAAATAGCGCGCGGCGCGTGAGCGATCGCTTCTGTGGAGTTTCAAGCGCTTGACTTCGTTAGAGCATTTATTGCGAGGGAAAATTAATAATTACAATATTATATATTTATTTATTACATATTACAAAAATGAATTATTCCTAATATTATATTCATAAATAACAATTTTAAAAATTGATGCATACCACTGAAACTATTAATCGTTCGAAAATTACTACCAAAACAAAATTTTATTCAAAGCAATAATAAATAAACAATTCTCCGGTTCCTTTTTCTATCATTACAAATTATAAACAATGATTTTGAATATAATTTGTAATTATTGATCAGAATTGATTATTCTATCAGACTGTTTGATTATAAAAGTGTAAACGTGAAAAGTTT